ACCGAAGAATTTGAACTTTATGCGTGAAAAAAATCGAGACTCCGAGATTTTTCCACTCAAATTCAGGGATCTGTTGCGAATCTCCTCCTTTTTCTTCATATCGAGAAGTGTGCAACCTTACAGGGACCTTGGAAAAAATCGCATATATTGGCACTCGTCCAACAAAAGGGCACTCGAAAAACTGCAAAAATGACGATGTGGGAGTGTGAACGAACGTTCACGTTCGCTATCGATTCCTCGAATTCTGGTGAGAAATTCCTGAGCGATAACGGCAAGGTGGGCAGTGTTTGCCGACTGATGAGATATCACTGAACAGAAGACGTCTCACGCCGCATCATTTTCCAGTATGCAGCTTTCCGAACTCGTCGCCAAGGAACTGCATCTGCTCAACTACGTCGTTACCCAGCCGACTGTCAGTTTCAACGGGGTCAACACGTTCGAAATCAAGGTGTGTTTGACAATTTTTAATTTTTAATTGCTCTGCTTTACTTTTGTTAGTGCTAATTTGTCCATGAGTGCGATAAAAGGTGCCAAAAGGGTCACGTACGTCACTCGTTTTTGGGGTGCGCCATGTACTCCAATTCCATGTAGCGATGCAGAGATAATTGAATGAGTAGCTGAACGTTGCTAGAGTTCGGGTGCGTTAGTCAGTATTTTTATCGTACTTGCTCTGCTTAAGAGTGCACTATTTACTTGACATTCTTGGATTCTTACCCACAAATAATTGCGTCAAAATGTCAGAATTGCAGAATGAACTCTACAGAATGAGCCATCAGTAAAGTTGGAAAACCTTTTCTCGCTTTCGGAGGCAGGAGTAACCGAAACCCCCCTTGGGTACAAAATTTTTGAGCTTTTTTTTGTTGCATGACGAAGCCACTCCCATTTATTTTCTATTCTTCGGAACTGCCTTTCAAATGAGCGGGACTGTTTCGGCCTTCTTCGATGGCTAACAAATGAAAATTCAAGCTTGCTTAGCTGTGGAAAATTTGATACTATAGTTTTCATACGCTCCAAGTGCCTAGAATTGAGCACTAGTGTCACAATTACGTAGTTGTGCTGAGGAAAAACTTAAAGAAGTATAAGTGAAAGTAAAAATTGACCAGAACTCAATTTCAAGTGGTTCCAGGTGCTCACTGGCTTCTTGACTTGTATCAGCCGTTTCTTCTCCTTCGTAGGTAGAAAAGGCCGGAAAATTTGTCTGTTTACTGGTATATGAAAGCTTACTGAATCTGCTGTTTACTGGTATATGAAGCTTTCCTAAAATCTGCTGTAGAAAATTGCGAAGGATTCATCATAGCACTTTCCACCTCTTAGATAAGGAAAGCCTTCAATCGCAGAATCTGTTCGTCTTTCCTTTTGCTTTTTTCACTGACAGTACTCTTCGAAATTTTTTCATTTTCTAGCGAAATAACCACAACGTTAATTCAATCGAGGAATGTGTCTCCTCAGATTAAATGACTACCACTTCGTTCCGGATTGTGCAATTTTCCCCGGAAATACGTACCTATTTTGCCTAATTTTCATTTTTCCTTCCAGAACGGATTCATCCATTATCGCGTGTTCTTTGTGGAGAATGTAGAAGAAGGAGAAACAATGACACTATCAGACGCTTCCAAGCTTGTAGGTTTGTCGTGACCAGTTGGTGCCAGAAATGTTTCCCTTTCGTATGAAAAGGCTTTTTAATAGCTGAAGCTGTTTATGTTACAGGCGGCGTTCTTCAATTCGAAGTTCTTTCACGAGACAGTGACCAGAAATCGCTTGGCGATTCCTTGTGGTCATTTTGAGCGATCGTTTCGAATCGAAGACGACAATATCTGCTATTTGATCTTCGTCATACGAATAGACAAAGGCCGACAAAGACATCACCTCAGCGAAAATGAGCTCTACCAGGTGAGTGGGAAGACGTTAACTCTTTCATCTCAAGTAGAAAGCGGAATTTTATTAGAAGGGGGGGGGGTTGCATTAACTCCTGCTACCCGGTAGCATATAGACAGGCCAATCCCAAGGCGCAGTGGAAACTGGAACTTATCTTACACATGAGTTATGCCTCAGTTACTCCTCACCGAAATCCCGTCACTGGATTTGTTCCTTGATCTTAAGAGTCAATTTCATTGGAAAGAATTTAAGGTAACGCTTCAAGAGTGCACCAGAGGTCGGGAAAAGAACAGCTAGAGTACATATGTTGCTTCTGCAAACGGTGCTCATGGCCTAAGGGGGGCCATTCAAAACAGGGTCGATGGTAGGTGACATTAGAACTGAACCCGAGAAAGGGGCGGAACATTAACTGTTCCTAAGAATCGCTGACTCTTTGGAAAGATCACTTTTGGACTGAAAAAGTTGGTTAACAGAAAACAAAGTTGGGAATCTGATCTCTGCTAGGAAAGTGAAAAAACCAGTGACATTGAGGAAAATATGCTTTGGACCAATAAAAAAGGACGCAAAAATTGCCAAAAACGGAAGGAATTAATGCAACTCCCTCACATTCCAAGGTTCTGTTGTGATATCATAAAATCTTGATGTCTTGATTTTGAGCTCTGTGTTTTAGTCTAAATTATATTATACGAAGGTGCTGGAGGTGATTGAATTAGAAGACTGTTAGACTGTTTCTTTTTGTTGAAGGAGTGATTGTTATAAATCCCAATTGGATGATAGTAAGGCAATACACAAAGGGAACGAAGTTGTATTGAGCTTTCGCAGAAAATGCATTGGATACCCCCATCAATTCTGCGAAGCTCCAAAACTCCGCCTACGGCGCAAGCCACGCCCCCGTCCCAAGCGCAGGTGGCATGCTGTTAGTTCAGACACCGCAACAGTGCGAGGCTGCATGAGATGTTCATGGTTACAAGTCCCTGGGCCGCAGTCTGCAACTTTGGGGTTTAGCTCCGCCCCCACCCCGACATGCCGCAACATATCAACTCTAAAACTAATTACAGAACTCGTCATTTTTCGTTGGTCTTATACCTCTTCCCCTTGAAATGTTGCAGTGCTATCGACTCTCTGCGTCAACGTCGGGATTGATTTCTCTCTAGTCAAAAGTTTATGGTCTCATCCCCGACATCAGCACCGCAGCGTCTATAGCCACAGATCTTCCGGAATTGTTTTGTCACAGGAACCGCTGGAAATGACGTTTTGGACTGCTGCATACGGCCTTTGAGCCCACAGCGCCCTTGCCACTTCTATTGAGCCGCGAAGATGGCAGTGCTTCGCGGCTGTCGATCCAGCAACCCCCCCCCCAGCGGACAAGATTGGTCCAATGAGCTGGATTGTGATGCCAAAAAAGTAAAAAGAGTCAAATCAAAAATACGTTTGTATGTGTGTTAATATCGTTTTAGTCCGCTATGGAATTCCTTCCCGTAGTAGTGGGAGGGTCGCAAAAGCCGGAATCTCTTTCATCGCTGCCAGTTTCATGTTTCTTAGAGGAGTTATAAGGGTTTGGTCGGGTTGGCGTTTGGTTGCTTTATCGAAAGAATCCATTTCTTTCGACCCTATGCGGGCCACCGTCACCACGCGGAAATGGAAATAATGTTTGGTTTATTCAGCATTTTGTTGAGCTACATGATAAGTAGGATTCAGATTATCTCATACTGTTTAAATTCCTGATAAATTATTGATTACTGATAGAACAGATGACAAAAACCTACGGAGGTGCACAAATAACGGCGGTCCACAACGGGTTAAAAAACTGATTGTTGCTTACGAATTGAAGTTAGAATCGAAATACTAGGTCTACTGACAAAAATTCTTTAAGGTAGCAGAAAAGCTTGGCGCGGTGCATGCGATCAACACGGAATCCATGGCTCCAGAGGTAAGTACGGCATGATTCTTTGCTAAAGTGGGCAGACTCCGAAAAAGAGTACCTGTAGTAGAATAATTTCTGATTTTCCGATTTCAGTTTCTCCGCGTTATTGAAGAGAACCACGAGAATATTCGTCGTTATCAGACGTCTCTCGAGCCTCAGCTGATTGCCATTTTGAAGGATGCGCTCAAAGGCGAATTGTCGCAGTATTTCTCCTTACCGATGGAGATCGTACCCAGGGTAAGTCAAATTTCACACTTAGATAGTAAGTGCAGTGATTTTTTGGCCTTCTACCTGACGTCTCAAACTTCAGTAGTAAGGTGGGCAGTGGTGTTCTGGCCATTCCCCTAAACGTCTCAAGAAATATTGTTTTGGCGCTATCGCAAAGTACGCAGGGGCATGGCTGAAGGCAGAAAGCATCAAGACCGCGTAGTCTCCCTTGGATCCTGCCCCTCGGGGCATAGTCCTAGCAGATGCCCCGTGCCAGATAAGCGCCAGAGTTGCTTTATGAACCTGGTTTGAGCTCATTTCTCAGCTCGAACTGAGAGCATCAGGGGTTAGCACTTTGACCAGTCGTTCTTGGCTTTTTGGGATGCGCCACGCACTTCTTTCCACTTCCAAAGCCTTCGACATTAGTATCGAGCTGAATCGATGTTTTCTCCTGACTATTCCTTAACACAGCGATAGAAGCAATACACTGTTTCGTTTGGGCAACTCCATTCGGAAAAAGGCTATTTCAGTTGGAAACTGTTCTCAAGCATGATGATGAGTGTCCCGAACCTTCGGAACGCGTTGTTTGTCATGGTCACCTATCAGCGGAGAACTGCCACTTCAAAGAGACGCCGCAACACACCGTGAGTGCTATCATTCCTATAGAGGCAGCCTCAGATTCAGGACTACGTGAGAAGAATTTCCATATATCTTTTATTTCTAAGTTAAGGTGTTTCCCACAGAAAAATATCGAGGAAGCTTGCTCCGAACCCGGTGTTCACATGCGTTTTTGGTATTCACAGGAGGTCCATTCCAATGCGGACATGTATTGATTCACTGGATGAATGACATGGCATTTTCAGTATAACTTCATCCAACTAATCCTGGATAGTGAAATGAGCCAAGGTCAGGCACATGCGGGGCAATAACTCCTAAGGTTGAGCAGGCTTTCCATACCTCTACAAACAACTATTTGGTAACGGCACTACTTGGGGGGCGAGACTATGGTACATGGAGATGGGTCAAGAGGTCCAAAAAGTACGCGTGCGCTTGTAGTTAAAGATCTGTATACAGTCAAGCTCTCAATGGTATTGGGTGTACATCATCGTCATTCTGCGTAAGAAAAGTGCTAAGAAAATACGCAGGCAATGTCTACTGACCTTTCCGCCGACGTTTAAGGTCTAGGAGTTACTTGAAACTCGCTCCTTTTGAACTCCGCCAATTTTGATGTGCCTTTGCCTGCACTCTCTGGCTCAAACACGGCTCGTGACCCTGGGATCTTACATATTTAACCCTATTGCCAATGGCTAACTCCGCACATCACGGCTTACCATTAGCCTTAGGGTTTTTAAGGAGCTGAGCCAGGCTTTGTTCTATAATCGTCCGTGCTCGAGCCATTCGCGCGAGAACCATGGAGAAAGTTGAAGCAGTCGTCTAGCCGACTTTTGGGCTCATTTCGCGAAAGTTGTAGCGCACTTGCCCAGTGAGCGAGTTCGAGTTTCCCAGTGCGGGCAAAAATTTTGTTTATAACCCACCATTCTTGTGAACCTGGGAATAAGGGGCTCCTTCTTTTGCGACAGAAAGAGGAGGACAGTTCAGGACAAACTGGGCGATGATGCTAGAAACAGCAGAAAGACGACAGAGAGCATAGGAGACAACGAGACGCAGGCCACCAAGCGGATTCCGGAGGTGATCGTGCGAAATATGGAGGCTGCGCATGATATGCTTTTTAACGCTCTAACGTCATTGCGCAGATTTTTTTAGTGGGAGTTATAATCCCTTACTGACTACGCAGAGCCAGCTACAACATTTACGGACGGTGTTATTGCGACTGAATGGTCGTGGAATGTGCCTTTAATCCTGTACGTGCAAGGCATAGTTTTGTTCAAACAATTAAATGCTCTCACGCTTGGAGCGGGTAGAGTGGGCATTGAACCAAAACGGTAAGCGTAAAAGAAAACACCCGGGTGAAAAGCTTAGGAAAAAATGGTAAAGCCTGAAAGACGAGAATGAGCATGAAAATGAACGATCGATGCACTGAACGATTTTCAGGGCACCGGTAGACACCATCATAGCGAATTGGTTGATATCAGTGATTGGGAGGTAAGTAGTTTTGTTCAAGTGAGTGAAAGAAATCCGAGAATGGGACGGGTTTAGAACGTGCACTTTGGCGACGTCGCTCTCGATCTGTCCAATCTCATCATTTCATCGGCTGAACCGATTGTCAGAAGAAATAAGTACATGTCGGTTGGTGTGTTGTCTTTTTCGCACTATTTTTTTGTTTTTTGAAGCCTTTGCTGTTTTCTTTTGATTTTTATTAAGCAAAATTATTCGAATTATCCTGCGCAACAAAACAAGTGGAAGAATTTCCTTTCGAAGTTCATTCAATATTTTTGCGCAGGGATTGCTCCGTGCCGGGCTAACAGGGCTTGCAAAATTGGCTTAGAGCATTTTGTCGATACTCGATCGGGAATTTTCGCCTGATCTTCACCCACGCCATCACCGCGCGGACATTCACTCTTCGTCCCACGCGAGCGTCTGTTGCTCTCCACGCGTACATTCACCCTCGACGCTGTCCTCACACAGAGGGTCATGGTCCTTTACCGTTGGTTTGGCTTATGGTTAGGGTCATTCTCACATGGTTAGAGTTCTCTCACCATTGGGCTTACGGTTTACTTCTTATGATTTGGGGGGTTATGATTGTGGTCTAGGGCTTTAGTCCTTAACTTGCTTCGAGGCAATGCGTCGGTGTCTCAATTTAGATGACTTTGGTCCGTTCCGCTTCTCTTTGCTCTCATCTATGTGCTAATGTAGAGTATCTGCGCTCTCTCGTCCGGTATGCTCTCTCGCCTATACTCTCTCCTCAGTGTGCTATGTCTTTTCGTCTTTACCCAGTACACATCGCAAAGAGAGGTAGACCCTTACTTACAATGGGTTTGATGGTTTCTTTTACTTTTTTCCTAAGCGGTCTCGTCGCTTCACTTCGTACCTATTTTTGTCATTTTTCGAAGGCTGCGGAGCAGGCCGACTAAACGTAGGGGTCTTGCTTAATCATGAGATGCTGCGAAAACGGGTTATTTGCTTTGCTATGATAAAATGAAATTAATCCACCAAGTTGAAGCAACGGTCTCGCTTGGGGCGATGACAGAATTTGCGAAACGGGCGGATTCGCTAGCGTCCACGGAATGGTCAGCGAATCGCTGTATTGGCTAGTACAGGCAACGCGACCGCGAACGCTAGCGATTCGCTCGATTCGCAAAGTCTGACATCGGCCTTACGATTAGTGGGTGGTTTGGTCTGGCTGAGCCCACAGCCGTTGTTGGTGCATGTTTTGTCGTTGATTAAACATTGCTATATTTCCTTCTTTTTGCATGTCAAACTGGAACACGCCGTCTCTTATCAGTATCTCGCTCTACTTTTCAAAAAGAAAGCGAAATGGGACATTCACTGCAACTTCATGACCCCCTTTCAGGGGCGAGCGTTATCATTCCCTCCCATGCCCACGGAGTAATTCAAACTGCAATGGTGATGAAAAAGTAGGGAATCATAATATTCAGTGTAGGTCTTAAATATACCTATCAAAATAAGTGAGGCTTGAACTTTGACGAAGCAATTTAGTTAGCGCTGGATGAAAAACTTCCCTGCATCCTATACGATTATTAATATGTTTTTACATCTATGTAATTATATTACCATTTATGCCCTAAAAATTCTCTACTTTCGCTCGAATGAAATAGAAAATTAAAGACAGCATCATGGTCTAGCAGGGTTTGGGATGCTTCTGATGACGTCACTAAAGCGTCAATAGGTGAAGGGTGTTTTAGGGGCGGTTGCCAGCTATAGGCAGGTCACTAAACGCCCTCGCCTTCCTGAGGGTTATTAGTTCACCAATTGGACGTTAAATGGACGATCAGACTGCGGCTCCATGAGCGAACATCGTGAATCGCATGCCTTAAGTTGGAAAGAACTACACTCTACCATATTGTTGCGATTCATAGTGGCTTTAAGCCCGCTTGTTCAGCTGTCACTCCTACCAGATATAACCTGAGAGATCGGAAGCGCTATGATAAACTGTTTATAGCACCGAGATATTCTTGCATGGGCCAAATATGCCCTTGAAATCTCGCACGGCTGCTGGATGCCTGGCTCATCCCTTAGAGCATAGATCACTTTCTCATCCCTCCATTTACATTTACAACATGAATACACGGCCTACTCAAAGCTCCGGTTACCGACTCGGAAAACTATTAATAAGCGAGTTTTGTTTGTTGAATAAATGCATTGAATTCAGATTTTCCGCCGTTACTACTACTCTCGTGTCGATTATCGCCCAACGAATTTCCGCCTCGCGGACCTGAAGAGGCTCTTCCGCAAGCACCACAAACGTGCCGTTCTGTTGGGGTAGGCTGCTTGATTATTTATTCAGTCAACGTCTTACTTAAAGGCACATGACACGATGAATATTTTGTCAAAAATGGGCAAATATGCCTACTAAAAATTCTGTAGTTACTTTCAAAGAGCATCTGGACCTCATTGTGAATACAACCTGTGCCTTACAAAGCCAAAAGTTTCCAGTTGGCAACCAGCCTAGATGTTTTCTGGCCCAGAGAGCTGAGCGCCATAGCAGTATTTCGATGTTTGACGTGAAGAGCGAGGTGTACCAACCGTTTATAAATTAAGGATCGAACCACTCCTGGAGATCCTCACATCGTCGGCCGATGACGAGGTGAAACGAGCGCACTCATACCGATGGGAAAGCGCATTGGAGGACGCTTACTACTTCACATCGGTCGGCTACGTCAGCGACGATGAGCACTGCTTGTTTTCCAAATGAAATCTTATTTGGTTGTTACTAATAAATATTTCTATGGCTGTACCCTGTATTCTTCTTGAGGATTGGTACCACAAAGACCATCTGATCTGTAGGAACCCTTGTTTACAATAGATAAACTGGGCTTGTAAACACGGCTGTCTCATTCATCGTAAGTTAGGGTAGTTTCGAAGGATTTCCGTTTTTTTTTTGTAATACGCTGCAGCGTTTATACTTCCTACAGCGACGCAGCTGTATTCGCGATTTACTGGGTCAACACGTCGGAGCGCTTGCGTAAGCATGTCGATCAGAAGGAAGGGCCTACCATCGGTTCGAACAACCCGTGCACGGGGGTCGTTCTTATGATTTTTCGTGGGGGAGGGGGGAATCGTATTTGAGGTTGGAGGAAACTGGGATAAAGTCAGTGCATGCAATCTGGGCTCATTATCAAATTCTGTAGTAGAAAAGGCCATGGGATTAGCGTAGAAAAGGCCACAGTGGGATGAGACGGGAGTGATGGGTGAGTGGCGGGGGATTGTGCTCGTGTGGCTGCATACTTTTCATGTTCTAGGAGTGCTGGAGTTAATGAGACCCGGGTGCGGGGGATTGGCTGCGGCCTGTCGATGCGCAAGGCAGAGCGCACAGTGATTTTTTCTGGTTGTTCCGGTTCTTGCAGTAGGATGGCGACGTTAAAAAGAAATTACTTTGCGTATTATTTTATGCGCAGCATAGCTATGTGGGAACTTAATTCCGCTCAAATTGAAGATGATCGGTAATGTGAATTTGAGGAGAGTTCCGGTCGTAATAAAAAAATCGTCCAATTTGTTTTCAAGAGAGGTGGTTGGGTTTGCTCGGTGTGCAGAGTGTTTGCGGAAGATCGGATTAGCGGACAGGAGGGACACATCTGTTTGCTCAAAAAACCAGGGATGGAGCGTCTGAGTGCGGCCAGAAACACACACCACAAGTGACGAGCAGGCCTGCTAATGAATCTGGAGCAACTAGTGATTTCATATGATAGTGGTAGTTGGGTGTAAATGAGAGTTGTACTTAGTGACAACTGGAAGAATATTATGCAACAGACTAATCATTTCATTGGCAGAAAACATATACATTATTGTTAGAGGCCGTCGTCACTTGTGGTGTGTGTGGTCTGCACTCGGCGCGCTTCTGGTTTTTTGAGCAGCGGAGGGAAGCCAGAGTACATTCATACTGTACACATATTCATTTTGAAACGACATTAATCTACAAGGCAGTCCAGTTCATGCTTCAAAACCAGCAACGTCCTGTAGGCAACGTGAACACGCAGGACCGTATGTGCGAAATTCACGGCGCCTCTAAGTCGAGCGGGGGCGAGTCAGTGGCGTCGGCCTGCTCTGGGGAACTTTTTCGCAGTTTAGACGGTGCTTGGTTGGAATTTGAAGAGAGATTTCTATTTTCTTTTCGTTGTACTTTCGTGTTGCTTTTTCATTATTTAGTAAACTTCTGAATTAGAATTTCATATCTTTTTTAAGCCTTATGATGGGTTTGAGCAGTGCCTGTTCGGGTCATTACAATCGCGGTTTGTTTGTTGGTGCATGTTATATGAGCTTATCTTTCATAAGTTGGGATGTTGACGGGGCCTATGCGAAGGATTACTGCATCTGAAGGTAGGAATGGTGTATTGAATCAGTTTGACTCTTAACGAAAAAGCGTTGGCGGTTTGCTATTTGAAATCCGTAGTTGATTACTTGTTTTTGATCTTGGTCGTTTATTTGTTACTGCACAGCTAGTACATAAAAAAACAGTGAACAATTGCGGGCGATGGTAGTGCTTTTTGTCTCATGTTACGGCTCTCTCATCCAGAAATAATGCGTTTATGAACGGATCCTTTGACCGCGATTACGTGTGGCTAGCACCATTGGAGCAGAGTCCAGATATTTAGACTTTCGTAATCGATTCAATGGTTGGTTAGCGGTTGCGTCCTTTTGTTTTGAAAACTGGAATTAAATTCATCAACTGTGCTTATGAATCTCGTGTTGAACTTATTGAAGCAAGAACAGTAAAAGATGCTCATAAGGAGAGACTGACCTCTAGTGTTTCCGGTGTGCCTTCAGCGGAAAGCGTGGCCCTTCATTTACGCAGATGGCTCAGGCAAATTCGTGCAAAATTAAACAAATACATAAGTAGTGGGTAGTTCCTTCACTTTTAAGTTGTCCAGGTCATAGGGTATTTCGTTAGTTCAGATCGTGAAACACTGCGGTCGACGGACTACTTGAACTCGGCCCTTTAAGCTGCCTCACTCGACGCTTTCGTCTGCGCTCTCTCACCTTATCAGCGGCTCATCACCACTGCGATCTCACACATTCAAACTTTTGCCACAATGCAATTGGCTCACCCACCTCGGATTCCCTCCCCCTTACAAGGCTTAGTCCTAAGGCTCTCACCTCCCTCCTTGGGATTTGGAGCCGAGCCAGGCGCCATTCTCTGATCGTCTGTGCTCTCCGCCATTCGTGGCAGGACCATGGAGACGAAAGTGCAAGTAGTCCGTAAACCATAAGCAGGAGCTTAACTAAGCGGATGATCTGGATTTTTTGAGAACAGCAAAAGCGTGGGCTCGCACTGATAATTTCGAAAATCTGGAAGCATTTTGGGCACAACTGTATTGGTAAATGTGTCTGTAAGTCGAATTGCGGTTTTTGACCTAATGAGGTAGCTGTCAAAGTATCGTTCGATGAAGGGTGGAAGTTTTCTTATGATGGGTGTGTGTCCGAAAAATTGCATGTGATTCATGGGGTTCAAATGCCTTCTTATGAGCTTGGACTGAAGCTTCCTCTCTCAATCTTACTCCCAGTTGAATGAAGGTGTCGATAACTGCAGGGGGCAAGTGATACAGTCACGCAGTGTAGACATCAATGAGAGCGCTTCAGGCAGCTTGAATTGGGAATTTGATGGAAAAGGTGATCCCGGATGTATTCTGCAATTTGATTTGAATGGTACTTCCAAAAATTACACTGTTTATGCAAATTTACTTTACTTACAAGCAGAAGGAGTAAGATGGTGAAGAGAGATAAGGAGTCAGTGGAAGAGAGGTCTATCTTCGCGATCGGCCAGCCGATGGCGGATAAGTATCTGGTCACATAAATTCATAGTATGGATGAATAAAGGTAAGTCAGAAATAGTATAATATTAGGTTGGAAAGAAAGTTCTGAGCCGATTTTTTTGAAAGCTCCAGAACTTTCGCTTATTGGTCGATACCTAGAATCTGCTACGTGATAGACTATCGTTGTCGATCATACTTCTCCGCAATAGGTATATATTGCCGGGTTGCCTTCTTTAACTTTAATAATGATGGTGATTCCACAAGAACACTTTCGAGCGATCATCTTCAATGAATCGCGCTGCGGCACAGGAGCAGTGGGAACCGTCAACATTATCAGCATCGCATTGGGAGGGTCACCACTTCCATCATCAGTGCCAAGCTCTGGTTCGCAGGCTTCGAGGGAGGAGACACGGCTTTCAAAGAAAAGACAAGGTTGGGAAGCCCACAAAAGGTAGAAGACTCCACCGTTCTCGGCGCTGTCGAAGAGGATCCGGACGTTAGCACCCGCAGCCTTGTGATAAGACTCGGGTGCACCCATCCCACAGTCCTCGGTCCCCTTCACGACCTCGCCACAGGAAAGTGGTGACTCAATGGGATTCCTCATGTCTTGACCGATAGCACGCGGTTCAGGCGGGTACCCATTTGTCAGTTTCTCCTTCTTTGCCCGCACCGAAAGGGGTTTTTGGAAGGCGTGATTACGAGAGATGAGAGTGGGGTCCTATACGATTCTAACAAGCACGGTGCCGTGTGGCTCCCTCGGAGAGAGGGCCGACCCCCCGGCCCTGCCGAAACACAAGCAAAATCGGACCTTCACCCCAAAAGCTGTCTCCTTTGCTACCTCTGGGATTCGTGAGGAATGCTGTACTATGATATGCTCCCGTAAAGACATACCGCTACCGGCAGCATTTACGCCAGTCTGCTCTAGAAACTAGCGGACGCTGTTCAAGAAAAACGACCGAGACGAACTTCTGTCCACCTACTCCACGATGACGCCAGGCCCCACAAAGTTAAAGAGACCCGTGCAGAATTGGAAGAGCTGATCTGGGACGCGGTTCCCCATCAACCCTATTCCCCTTACATTGCCTTCTCTGATTATCACTTACTCTATCCCCTTAAGGGATCCCTAGCGAAGAAAGAATTCACCAAAGGTAAAGAAGTTGGAAGAGCGGTCAGCGATTTCTTTGACTCTCAGTCTGCTCTGTTCTGGGAGAAGGAAGTCGCTGAACTGCACATTAGGTGGGACTCTGTAGTGGGTAGCAATGGTGATTATATTGTTGGGTAGATTCCATTCTACGTGGAATAAAAAAGCAAAGAACAAAAAAGTGTCAAACGGCTCAGGACTTTTTTACCACCCTAATATATATGGAGTTGTGCCTGTCTTCACTTTTTTGTTAATCATCCATTAGATTCGGATGTTTGAAAGACACTAATTCCGCATACTTTCGATTAAACGATCCTTTTTTTTAACTTAAGAGATTGCATATATTTGTATTCTGGAAAGAGTTTGACATATGACTTGTAGTCAGGTTCCTGGGTATTATGTCAAATTCTGTCCTCGATCTGGGGTGTAGATCAAGACAGCATTTTGTCCAAGATGTGTAAAAAAACACCAAACAGAAAGTAAGAAGTTTAGCATTTTTCTTGCACGCAGGATTTAGGCGACTATAGGCTTTCCTTTTCTAATCGCCGCCGAGCTCCAAAACAACGCCCAGAAACCCATTCCTTGGCGTTTTAACAAATTCTCCTTTGTTTTTCATTGCTGGGTTAGACAGGAGCTACTATTTTTTGTCTGAATCCCAACCATGTCTGAGTCTTTAAGATTCTGTGTTTCTTTTCTGTTTTTGAATCGTCGTTTCGTTGCGAACACAAAAGTGTTGGGAACTTTTCTGATGACCACATTTTGACTGCCATTCAACACTACAGAGGTTTTCATTGAGTAAAATAG